TTTATTTTTATGGGGCTTTTGGCTACTCTAACATTCCCCCCTCTGAAGAGGTATCCCTAAAATCTTTTAAGGATTAGGTACAAGCTCCCAAATACTTTAAACATTTTTGGCTTTTGGAATAGAGTGTGTTGCTAAGAGGCCCAAGGACATTTTGACTTTTACCCAAGAAACTGGCTACTTTTCTTTGGGGTCTTTTTACACTAACTGCCTAGCCAATTTCTACCTCCTATTCTTATCACACCAACCTCTGAAAATTTTACCCAAATTGCCAATAGGGAATAGGGACGCAGACCACTCTGGCTTCTTCCATGCTGAACAGGGACTCAGAGTGAGGCAACTGGAGTACCCCTTCAGTGGGTCTATCTAAAAGACTCCCAAATTGCACAGTTCTTATCTCTAAGGGGAAAAGAAGTCCTTGAATCATGAGTAGGAGATATGAAGGAATAGTAAAGGCATGGGTAATTAGCATTACAAATTCTAGAAAGTCCTTGACTGGTGAATAGGAGATGTGAAGGAGAAGTAAAGGTAAGAGTAATTAGCATTACAAGTTCTAGACAGGGAACTAGAAAAAAGTTAGAACAGGGCAATTTTCAAATGTTCATATGAGGGTCCACTGGAAGTTCTTGACAAGGGATTCCAAAAGCAACCCTTTATTGAGTTCCTCCTCATTTTTCCTTTACCTTCCAAGGCTGGACTCTAGAGTGATGGATTCAGGATTTGCTTTCAGGTATTTTGATAGTGTTGGAGTGGTTAGAATCAGTGTCAATTCCCTCTCAAAGTAAACTTTATTTTTTATTATGGCAAAAAAAAAAAAAAAAGAGGTCTCTGGAGGTCCTGGCCCTGCATAGTTAATGTGTCATTAAGAGCGGATGACACAGCAGCATGGGAGTGTAAAATACAGCGTATAACGCCACTGAAACACAGGCAGCACAGCCTCCTACACAGGTTGTGTATGCTCCTAAAAGAGCAAAGCCTGCAAACCACTGACACTTTGTGGTTTTATTTGTGTCTGGCTTCAGGAATGGCTTCCATCTTCTTCATTTCTGCCTCACTCAATGCACTAAAATCTGTTGATCAAGAAATTTTATCTCCAAAAACTCTATAATGAAAGAGGAGTGATTTACATAGGTCTTGTGCTTTAGTGAACCCAATTAATATTCTTCTTGAATTCTTCTTGAACTGTTACATTCACATTCATTGTAAGAAAGATGTTTGAGAACATTTTCAAAGCTGGTTTTCCAAAGAAAGATAGAAAGTAGACACAGGTATTACTTCTTTGAGATGACCCTTTTTGTGGAACCTCAGGGTGGTGATTACTAAGCACAGTGTCCGTTTTCTCCTCTCTTATTGAATGTAGGATTTAGAGAGAGATCTCTCCTCCCTCCTCCCCCGACCCTGTGGACAGGGCCGAGTGCTACTGCCCTGAACTTAGTTCTCTGCACAGGTAACAAAAATGAGTGTCACTCCTTGGCTTCTGGGAAGCTTTGGTCAGGGTGAGGGGAATAAGGTAACAGTCTCAAAATGCAAATTTTAAGGGACACCTAGTAATCCAGATCAGGAATATTTTAATGCATTGTTTGGGGAAAAATAATGAAAAAAGGCCATCACAGACAGCAAAACAGAACGCAATAAATATTGTGTTAAAGACAAATTCTGATTTGAGTAACCCAGCCTCACCCTCATCAGCCTGGCCTACCCCTGGCCTGAACTCCGGGCTTCCTGACAGAATTCCCCAGCACAGTGTTAAGTGTGCACCTCTGCAGAGTCCTTCCTGCTTCGTCTTTCTCTTTTGAGATGAAACAGAGCCTGGTTTCCTTGGATGCACTCCCAGCAGTCCCTGAACCCGATAATAACGCCTGGCATTTGCAACCTGCTGTCCAAGGGTGGCAGCGGGGGCTACAGCAGGAATTAGGCAATCGCGCGGCCAGCTCCAGGCACCCAGGGTGGGAGAGGCGGCTGCAAGTGTTACCGCCAGGAGCGCTGCCCACCCAGCCCGCGGGAGCTCCTGTCTCCTTCCAGACGGGGAGTTGACATCCGCCACCTCCTGGGCAGGTGCGGAGCAGCGCAGTTGAGCTGGAAAGGTGGTGGTGTCCGCAAACGCAGTGCAGGACTCCCGGGAGGGTGCGCAGCTGGAGCAGAGGCTGCGGCTTCTGCGCGGCCAGTGGCGGTGCTACCAGTCTCTGAGTAACCAGAGAGCCAGAGAGCAGGGAGGAGCATCAAGCCCAGCCCGGGCACAGGGATCCAGCGCAGAAGCCGCCCAGGCAGCCGCTGCTCTCCTGAGATCTTCTGAGCGCCCAGAGTGAGCATGGCCTGGGTGGTCCAAGCCGTCCTCCAGCTACTGCTGCTCCTGCCACCGCCTGCCCAGACCCGGCCCCCAGTAGCAGCTGGAGATCCGTGTAAGTAAGCCAGCAGCTTAAAACTTGAACTCGGCTATCTGGGAAACTTTGCATTTTATTCTTGGTAATATTTGCACTTAGCATAGCAGAGCATGCGCCTGGAAAAAGATCCTTTTAAATCAACCCTATGGTGGCAATCTGAAAAACAGATTTTTTTTTTGTTTGTTTACAATAGACTTTTTTCTTTTGGGAGAGTCTAAAATATATAACGTGAATTTGACTTTTGACTTATATATCTGAATAATCATTGAGAACTATTTTAATAAAACCGAAAAGAACACCGTAGTTAGGGATTAATCAGCCAGTGCTGCCGTTCCTTCTCTTTGAGGACTGAAACAATTTTCAGGAATCAAGTCTATCAAGGAAGTAACTGGCAGGCATTACATCATGCTGCATCAGTTTGCAGACCCTGGTGGCTTCAGAGTTAAGATACTAATTGACTCTTGTGTCCTGTGCCGGTGGAGCACCTGTAGACAAATCTGAATTTTATACCCCAAATTTAAAAACCTGCCGGAATTACTCAGAAAACCACTCTGGCACTCCCTTAACAGAAGGGTTTGTTTCTACTAGTAAAAAGTTCTTGCTTAAAGACAAAACTTTGGTAATCATTCTCTAGATGCTAACCTTTCACATTTTAGAAGTCTATCACTGAGTGCTGTGTTTCTGATATGACAAAAATCTTGGAAGCCTTTATTTGTAGAATGATCTACAAATAAGACATGACTGAGGCACAGCTCCTGGTTCAGGAACTGCACCTTTCAGTCGTGGGAATGGGCCTGGCTTGAGGCTTCGGAGGAGGAAGAATCTGAGTTACTGCAAACTTTAAAGGGAAGATTTAGGTGAATGCTGACAGCTCCTTTGGAGACCCCTGTATTCTAATATTCTAGAGTATCCTAATGCAATAGTGATATTCCAGACAGTTCAGAAAAATCCAAATGCAACAATATTTTATCATGCAGGAAAATATAAGAAGAAATTACTTGGATTAAAATTCCAATTTAATCCAACTACGAGTTTAGGATTTTAAAACTCTTCTGGAACTAAAATCACTTTTTAAAATTAATTTTGTTTTTCAGCAACTTCATACATGTATATGATACGTTCTAATCACCCTCTCCCTCATCCTCTCTTACGTCCCCCTCTAGCCCTATCAATGCCCCCTTTCCTATCAGCCCTTTCCCCAGATTCATGACTTTTGGTTTGGTTTGGCGGCCCTGGGCCATCTGTGTGAACGTTGGATTAGAACTATTCATACCTTTCTCTCTGCTTTTAGCCTTCACAAAATCTCTTAAAATCTGCTGATAAATGCTAGTGGTCATATTCAAAATTTAGATCACTGAAGGACAGGGGTCTCCAAAGGAGCTGTCAGCATTCACCTAAACCTTCCCTTTAAAGTTAGCAGTAACCCAGGTTCTTCTTCCTTGAAGCCTCAAGCCAGGCCCATTCCCACTGCTGACAGGTGCAGTCCCTGCACTGCGTGCTGTGCCTCAGTCATGTCTCATTCATCCCATACTTTGTATGCTCCTTATGAAAAAAAGAAAGAAAAGGCTCCTGAGTCCTTTGGTCACATGTGCCATGCTTCAGATTCAAGTTTAAATTGGTTTTGGGGGGACAGCTTTGTTAATAAAATGTGAACATTTAGATTAAATCAAATTCAGTGAGTTCTGTACCAGAATCTGCTGTTTTGCTTAAATAATTACATAAAGGAGAAAAGAACTGCTTGTACAGAGGCAACTTCAAGCAATTCAAAGATCAGTTTTTCTAGTCTACAACAGTAAAGTACATCACTAGAGGTCACTCTCACTATGTGATAAAGGGCTTCAGAAAGCTTGACTTGAGAAAAACAAAGCAGTGAGCTGGGGAGGAGATGCTAGAATGACCTTTCTGAGCTTTGTTGCCCTGTTGAGGTTACTTCTTACTCACAGTATCAGTTGTATTGACAACATTTTGCTTGGAATATAATGGGAGGATTAAGGTTCCATAGAAGTTCAGCTGGTCTCTTTCACAGAGAGCCTTCTTGGGAGAATAGAAAGCATCTGTGATGAACTGTGTTGAATGCATGGATACATGTTCACATGGGTTTGCCACCAAACTCGCTTGATCCTGGACAACTGCTGGATGACAAAAATTTTCAATACTAGTGTTTTGGTATTTTTTTCAGTGAAAGTGAGATCATCTTGAATACCAGTATAAAAGTCAATAGGGGCATTTGGAATTCTCCCCTGTGGACACCAAGACCTGTTCATGCTGTGCTTAGCTGGTCTTTGAGAAGCAAACCAGCCATCAGCCCAGGTCTCTGTGGCAAATAGTGTAAGAAAATTGTTGTGCAAAATGAGGTCATGAGAAGAGTATGCTAAACATTTCCCATTTAGGGGTTCTATGTATTTTATTTGATTATTAGTTGACCTGAAGAGTAACTGGGGAACTTTTATATGAGGAAGATTTTGTCTAAAGGAAATCACTTTCTTGATTCCTCATAGACTTTTTCTTTTTTTATCTATTTTTTGGTGCTTATTCTGAATTATCTTGCATACTCTTTATCTTCCTGAAGATGAAATATCTAGAGTGGACCACGTTCTTTTCACTTTTAGGATATGTTCCTGATAAGAGAACAACACTGCACGAGTCTCTGGTTTTTCTTCAGAATGTGCTCGTGGAAGTGATTATGGACTTGGGAGGATGAACTCTTGGAGTTCAGCATTTTATTTATGCTGTTTCATCTCTTAGTTGCTTTACTTGTTAAGAATGGCTCTGACCAAATCCTGATCCTGTCTTTCCATACTGTGGCTATTTCTTGCTGTTGCCATTTCTGCACTCTAACAAATCATGGTAGGTGGGGTGGAGGGAAGTAGGGCAGAAGGAATTGGCCTCATTGTGCCTTAGTTTGATAAAAATTGATGCCCTGAGTGAGTCTGATTATTCCCATAATTTATCTCAGAGGGTTTTCTTATTCTGCTTAGAGGGCTTTTTTATTCCACTTTGTCTTTCTGTCTAGGAGTCAATGAAAAGTCAAATACTGTTTATACAGTACTGAGACAGTAGGACTAGTAGTGAGAAGGGCTCAGAACCTAACAAAAAGAAATGCCTCAAATCAGTAAGATGCTGAGTAATAGAACTCATTGTCACTCTTTTTGTTTGTTTGGTTTAAGACAGGGTACCTTTCCGGCAAGTTAGTTTATCCATTGCTCAGCAAAATACTTCATTTTAATTGTTTCTTTTTTTCTAAGTAGTTATGTTTTTTAATATTTTATTTATTATTTTTATTTTATGTGTATGAGTGTAGTACCTGCATGAATGTAAGCACACTTGTGTAATGCCCATGGAAGTAAGACGTCAGAAGAGGGCATTGGATCTCCTGGAACTGGAATTATGGAAGGTTGTTAACTGCCATGTGGATGCTGGGAATTAAACCCAAGTCCATTGTACGAAGAGCCAGTACTCTTAAGTGCTGAGCTCCAGCTCCAAGTAGTTACACTTTTAAGTTCACCCTTCAGGCTGGAAAAAGGTCAAACCATCATAGAGTATGTGGTTTATTGACAAAATTCATTTCTGAAATGATACGGGGCTTCATGGCAGGAAAACCACCTCCTACAGTGTAGGTATAATTATTTTAGCAGATGCTTCAGTTTGGACCTTTTAGTAATACTATTCTTTTTTTTTT